CATGGTGCAGCAGATCCTTCAGCGCTTCGGCTTCATGTACTCCTCGCCTCAGGCCACTCCTCTGCCTACTCGCCACTCGCTCTCAGCTCTGCCTTCGGATGAGTCCGTAGAGTCGAGTGGCCCGTACCCAGAGCTTGTTGGCTGCCTCATGTACCTGATGACCTACACACGACCTGACCTTGCATACCCTCTTAGCATTCTCGCACGCTATGTTGCTCCTGGGAGACACAGACCGGAGCACATGGCTGCAGCGAAGAGGGTGTTGCGCTACTTGTGCAGTACGTCGGGCATGGGGCTAGTGCTTGGAGGGCAGAGTCCAGTGGTCCTCACTGGGTACGCAAACGCTTCTTGGGCTGACGACCAGGCTACGCAGCGGTCGTCACAGGGTTACACCTTCAGCCTTGGCTCCGCCTCTGTTTCGTGGCGGGCTACTCACTCGTCTTCTGTTCTCAGCTCCAGTTGTGAGGCTGAGATCTACGCCGGGGCCATGGCTGCACAGGAGCTTCGCTGGCTCACCTACCTGCTGACTGACCTCGGAGAGCCGCCTCGATCTCCTCCAGTGCTGTACGTAGACAACAAGGCCATGCTGGCCTTGTGTCGGGAGCAGAGTCTGGAGCACAGAACGAAGCACATTGCTCTTCGCTACTTCCTTGCTCGTAAGCTACAGCAGCGTGGTCAGCTGTGTCTTGCGTATGTGGCCTCTGAGGCCAACACTGCTGATATCTTCACCAAGGCACTTGCGCCTTGTGATCATCAGCGCTTCTGTACTCAGCTGGGTCTTGTGCCTGCCTTGCCTCACTTGCTCACCTCTTGACCTTGCTTGTACTGTTACATATATATATATATACCTGCTCTTGCTTGTCTAGCCTTTTATATATATGTACTCCTGCATGTGAACTGGCCTTTTGGCCTTGAACTTGTGCTCGGAATGTGTGGTGACTTTGTGATCCACCTTGAGCTTGCTTTGCTTGACTGGTCTTGTGACCCCTTGTTCTCCCCCACTTTGCCTATGGGGGTGTGTCAGAACATTATAGCTTATACTTTTGTGTAGGCTGTAGTGGGGTAGCCCATAAGGGGTACAACCCAATTAGGGTTAGCACTTGTACCCAACTGTTTCATAGTTCATTCATTCTCTTTCAATTTCACAACGCTTCCTTGGGCCCACCACCGAAACTTTTTTTTTTTCTGACTGGAGCGACAGTCGCTCCTGCCCGAGGCGCGCCTTGTGGGCTGCCCTTCTGTCGACCTCTCTTAGAGGCCCCTCTCACGGCCCCTCGCGCCACCCTCAGCGGCCCCGTCGCCACCCCTAGCGGCCCCGTAGCCGCCCTTCCAGGCCCCTTGCGGCCCCTAGCGGCCCCGTCACCGCCCCTACGCGGCCCCGTCGCTGCCCCTAGCGGCCCCGTCGCCGCCCCTAGCGGCCCCGTCGCCGCTGACCTCCCTACGCGGCCCCGTTGCCGCCCCTACGCGGCTCCGTCGCCGCCCCTACGCGGCCCCGTCGCCGCTCCTAGCGGCCTCGTCGCCGCTCCCCTCCCTACGCAGCCCCGTCGCCGCCCCTACGCGGCCTCGTAGCCGCCCCTACGCGGCCCCGTCGCCGCCCCTAGCGGCCCCGTCGCCGCTCCCCTCCCTACGCGGCCCCGTCGCCGCCCCTAGCGGCCCCGTCGCCGCCCCTACCCGGCCTCGTCGCCGCCCCTAGCGGGCAGCCGAGCCGCCGAGCCACCCAGCAGCAGCAATCGCCCCTGGAGCAGCCGCCACTGCAGCAGCCGCCACTGGAGCAGCCGCCACTGCAGCAGCCGCCCCTGGAGCAGCCGCCACTGCAGCAGCCGCCCCTGGAGCAGCCGCCACTGCAGCAGCCGCCCCTGGAGCAGCCGCCACTGCAGCAGCCGCCCCAGGAGTAGCCGCCACTGCAGCAGCAGCCCCTGGAGCAGCCGCCACTGCAGCAGCCGCCCCTGGAGCAGCCGCCACTGCAGCAGCCGCCCCTGGAGCAGCCGCCACTGCAGCAGCCGCCCCTGGAGCAGCCGCCACTGCAGCTGCCGCCCCTGGAGCAGCCGCCACTGCAGCAGCCGCCCCTGGAGCAGCCGCCATTGCAGCAGCCGCCCCTGGAGCAGCCGCCACTGCCGCAGGCGCCCCTAGAGCAGCCACCCCTGCAGGTGCCGCAGAGCTCTCGCTCTACAGTGGTAGCGGCATCGCCGTTGCCGCCGTCGTCCGCCTGCCCTTCTCGCCACTGGTGAGCACTGCCCTGCCCGTACTGCTGTTACTGCTGCTCTTACTACTGCTGCTCTTTCTACTGCGACTGCTGCTCCTGGCGTGGCTAGATGCAGCTCCAGCGTCGCCCGCGTGAGTCCCTCACCCCTCAACAGCTTTGTGAGTGGTACGCTAGTTGGGGTTGTCGGGGTGGCCGTAGTGGGAGTCGTCCTGGAGTGAGTAGTTCCGCAGCTGCTTGTAGTGGCAGGATGCAGCTCCAGCATCGCCCGCGTGAGTCCCTCACCCCCCAACAGCTTCGTGAGTTGTACACCAGTTGGGGTTGTCGGGGTGGCAGTAGTGGGAGTCGTCCTGGAGTGGGTAGTTCGGGAGTTTCTTGTAGTGGCCCAGTGCAGCAGCAGCGTTGTCCGCGCGAGACCCTTTCACCCCAGCAGCTTCGTGAGTGGTACGCCCAGAATGGAGGGTCACTGAGTACTGCTTGCTGCCCGTACGTTATTAGCACGGGTGTCCGGACTGGTAAGACTTGCGGGACGCGTGGTCACACAGAGTCCCGCTGCTTCGCGCGTCTGAGCGACACTTGGCGTACAGAGTTTGGCGACGACGCTGAGCTCCCCGACTAGGTGGAGCTGCTTAGGCAGAGGGTAGATATCTTTGCTCTTGACTATGATGCTATTCTCACTGCAATGTATGCATTGTCTACTAGTGCCGAGGGAGTCTGTCACCTGTGTGTGCCGCCTGACCCCGGTATCCAGACTGCTGCTCTAGATGCTGGTGAGGCTGCTGCTCTAGGTGCTAGTGCGTCTGCTGCCCCAGATGCTGGTGAGTCTGCTCTATCAGGTACCACGTCGGCTCAGGCCTTACACACCTTCACCCTTGACTCGGGTGCTTCCCGCTCCTTCTTTCAAGACCGCACCACGCTTACGCCGCTTAGTCGGCCGGTTGCGGTCTCCCTGGCGGACCCCTCTGGGGGTCCTGTCCTTGCTAGCTTCTCCACTGTCTTACCGTGCCCGGCAGCCCCCTCTGGCACCCTGTCAGGTCTCTACCTCCCCTCGTTCTCTACGAACTTGGTGAGTGGAGCTGATCTACAGGATAGGGGGGTTGATCAGTTCACTCCTGCGAGTCAACGGGTGACCCACTGCACGTGTGCTCGGACAGGCCGACACTTGGCCACGTTCACCCGTCGGCCGGGGTCGAGCCTGTACACACTTACTACTGAGTCTCCTCCGACTGCTGAGTCTGGTTAGGTAGCTGTGTCGAGTCAGGTGTTTGCTGCAGCGTCCAGGTCTGGTCCTGAGTCTGCTCCCTGCTCGTGTCGTCTCTTGTCCCACCAGACTCTCCTTTGGCACCACCGCCTTGGTCACCCCCCCTTGCCTCGTCTCCGAGGCATGGCCTCCCGTGTCCTTGTCTCTGGTCTTCCCTGGTCTCTCCCTCCCCTACCTCCGGGGCCTGCCCCTACCTGCGTCCCCTGCGTCGAGGGGCGTCAGCGCGCCGCCCCTCACTCCTCCGAGTTTCCTCCGACAGAGGCTCAGCTGCAGACTCTTCACATGGACGTGTGGGGCCCCGCCCACGTCCGTGGACAGGGGCACGAGCGTTACTTCCTGTTGGTGGTTGACGACTACTCGCGTTACACCACAGTCTTCCCCTTGCGCAGCAAGGGTGACGTCACTGAGGTGTTGATCGACTAGATCCGCGCAGCTCATCTCCAGCTCAGAGAGAGTTTCGGCTCGGACTTTCCTGTTCTGCGTCTGCACTCTGACAGAGGCGGGGAGTTTTCCTCTGCCCGTCTGGGAGCCTTCTGTTGTGCACAGGGCATCTGACAGACCTACACGCTTCCGGCCTCTCCACAGCAAAATGGGATTGCTGAGCGCCGCATTGGCATGGTCATGGACGTCGCTCGTACGTCCATGATAAATGCGGCTGCCCCCCATTTTCTATGGCCGTTTGCGGTTCAGTACGCAGCGCATCAGCTCAACCTTCAGCCCCGGGTCTCCTTGCCTGAGACCTCCCCCACCTTGCGGTGGACGGGGAAGGTTGGCGATGCGTCTGCGTTTCGGGTCTGGGGATCTCGGGCGTTTGTCCGCGACTTGTCTGTGGACAAGCTGTCCCCCCGTGCTGTTCCTTGCGTCTTCCTTGGCTTCCCCCCTGACGCGCCTGGGTGGCAGTTTTACCACCTTTCACGAGTCGGTGCCTGGGTCAGGCAGTTTCACGCGCCTGGGTCAGGCAGTTTCACGCGCCTGGGTCCTCCCAGGACGTCACCTTTCACGAGTCGGTGCCTTACTACCGTCTCTTCCCCTACCGCAATGCGCCCCTCCCCCCGCCGCCGCTCTTCCTTGCGCCAGGTCCTCCCCCGGTAGACCCCCTCCCCCCTCAGGGTCCTGCCCCGTCAGGTGTGTCCCAGGTAGACGCAGTCGAGCCTGTCGAGGTAGCTGTTGACTTTGGTGCTGCTCGAGGTGCTGTGCCTGCGGGTGCCGGGTCTGGGGGTGCGGAGCCTGGGGGTGCTGAGTCCAGGGGTGCGGAGCCTACGGGTGCTGAGTCTGGGGGTGTCGAGCCTGGGGGTGCTGAGTCTGGTGGTGCTGAGCCTGGGGGTTCTGAGCCTAGGGGTGCGGAGCCTGGGGGTGCTGGGTCTGCTCGTGTGACCTCTCGCGGTGCTTCGTCGAGGCGGGAGCCGCTCTCTTCGCAGGAGCTGCGCGAGTGGTTTGCCCAGCGCTGGAGCCGTTCTACTAGAGCTGGAGGTACTACTATTGCTGCTGGTCCCGGAGGTGCTCGTACTGGCGGTACTGGAGCTGCTGGGGGTACTGGAGATGCCGGTCCTACTGGAGTTGGTGCTGCTGGAGCTGCTGGAGTTACTGGAGCTGGAGCTGCTGGAGGTGTCAGCGCTGGTGGTTCTGCTGGCGCTGGTGCGTCTGAGGGTGCTGGAGTTGGCGCTGTCGGCGCTGGCGGTGCTGCTGACACTGGTACTGCCGCTGGGGGTACTGGTGCTGTCCCTGCTGGTTCTGGAGGCGCTGCGCGGCCGAGGCCGTACTTCGTTCCGCTCCTTGAGCAGGTTCTTGGTCTTCCGCCTTCTATTGGTCCTGCCCCTCCCTTAGCGTGTCCACCGCCTGTCTAGTCGTAGTCACAGTTACAGCCCGCCTCCCCCCTGCCTGCTCCTTCTCCCTACACTGGTCCTACTGGAGGTCTTGCTGAGCGTCGTGAGCCTGCGTCTCGTCCTGCGTCGCCTGTTCGTGCTGCTCGCACTGGTGTTCGTACTGCACGTCCGCGTCCTCCTGCGGTCCCAGGCACACACCAGATGGCACTGCGTCCTTCCACTGCTCCTCTACGTGTCCCGTTGCCGTCTCCTCGAGAGTCCTCTCTTCCTAGTCTTGCTGACCCGGAGTCTGACTCTCTTCGTGCTGCCAGTCCTTCTGTCACGCGTCTCCTGGCTACTGTTGTCACTGACCCTTCCTTTGAGTCCACTGCTGCGTCTGCCCTAGTTGCTGATCTTGTCGACTTCGCTGCTTGCTGTCATCTAGACTACGCTGCTAGTCTTGTTGCTGAGTCTGAGTCTGTCTGTCCTCCGTCCGTCGGGGGTGAGTGTGCTCTTAGCACGGACGTCCTTGAGGACAGGTAGGAGGAGTTCCATTGTTTTGCTGCTGCTTTGCCTCATCTCGTGTCCACGCTGATTGCCCTAGAGGGAGACCTGGATGTCAAACACTATATGTGTTATTATTGTGTGGGCTATAGTAGGTTAGCCTTTAGGGGGTACACAAAAGTTAGGGTTATCTACTTGTACTCCAACTTTCATAGTGCAATGACTTCTTCGTAACATGGAATCAGAGCAGGTCCTCCGCTAGGACCGATTCTTAGGGCCCACCACTACTACTGCTTACTAGCGCCCTCGTGCCCCCCACTGTCGGAGCACCCTCGAGCGCCTCCCCCCTAGCGCCCTTGTGCGCCTCGTTTTCACGGCCCCATAAGGCCCCGCGACCCGCGACCCGCCCCTCTTAGCGACCCGCGCGCCGCCCCTTAGAGGCCCCACTGGCCCCGCCTAGAGGCCCCGTCGGCCCCCTAGGCCCCGAGCGCGCCCACCCCTTAGCGGCCCCGTCGGCCCCGACGACCCCACGTGCCGCCCCTTAGCGGCCCCGCTGGCACCGTCGACCTCGCGCGCCGCCCCCCTTAGCGGCCCCCGCTGGCCCCGTCGACCCCGCGCGCGAACCCCTTAGAGGCCCCGTCGGCCCCGTTTGCCCCGCGCGCCCACCCCTTAGCGGCCCCGTCGGCCTCCCCCTCGACCCACGCGCCGCCCCTTAGCACCCCGCTGCGACACCCACGGCCCCGCCAGAACGAGCCGCCCGAACCGAGCAGCCCGAACAGAGCGGCCCAGCCCGAACCGAGCCGCCCGAACCGAGCCGCCCAGCCCGAACCGTGCCGCGCCGCCCTACCCGAGCCGAGCCGCCCAATCTGAACCGAGCCGCGCCGCCCGTACTGGACCGAGCCGCCCTACCTGTGTCGCACTGCCTACTGTTTGAGGGTGCACCGACTACTACCACTGCTACCTTACTGCTTCTCCTACTACTGCTATGGCTAGCCCTCTTGTGCTAGCTTTTGATGCTGAGGGCCGCCCAGTGAAGTTCGAAACCTGGCTAGATGACCTACACCTCTTCCTACAGCTCACTGCAAAGGAGGACATCTCACTGTATGATCACGCCCTAGGCCATGCTACTGCTCATGCTGCTACTGCTGACAGCACTGCCCGCTCACAGTGGCAGACTCGTGACGCCCACGCTCGCTTTGCTATTCGCAACTCCCTGCCGATAGATGAGCGCGAGCACTTTGGCCAGCACAAGACTGCACAAGCATTGTACACAGCAGTCGTTGCCCGCTACTCCTCACCTGCCTCTGCCACGCTAGGCCGTCTCTCACTCCCCTACCTGTTTCCCGACCTGGCCTCGTTCCACACAGTCGCTGACCTCATCACGCACCTCCGTACTAGTGAGGCCCGCTTCCGTGCCGCCATGCCTGATGAGTTCCTTGCCACGCACCCCCCCCCCACTCTGGCTCACTCTCTACCACCTAGTCACCCGCCTCCCTGACACTCTGCGTGCTGTCAAGGATCACTTCCTAGCTCGCTGCCCCACTGAGCTCACCATTGCCCTCCTCGAGAAGGAACTGCTTGCAGCTGAGGCTAGCATAGTCGCTGTAGGTGCCTCTCGTGGCGACCCCCGCACCCCTTTCTTTGAGGGGTGTTCCCCTTCCCCCCTTCTTCCCTTTGTAGCCTCTGCTTTTGCTGTCGACCTCCTTGGTTCTGAGAAGGTCGGGGCTGCGTCTGCTTCGAGCGGGCGCCGCAGCGGCAAGGGCTAAGGGGGCAAGGGAGGCGGAGGTGACGGCGGGGGAGGCGGTGGTGGGGGTGGTGGCGGCGGTGGGGGTGGTGGTGGGACTGGGGGGGCTAGTGGCAGCGGTGGGGGTGGTGGCAACAGCGGCGGGGGAGGTGGCAGGGGCGGGGGCAGTGGTGGGGGCGGCGGTGGGCGCGGCGGCGGCAGGGGAGGAGGTGGCCGAGGAGGTGGCGGCGGCGGTGGTGGTCGTGGAGGCACTGGCGGTGGCCAGAGCCTGCAGCACTCTCCGTCGCCCCAGGAGCTCCGTGAGTGGTACGCTCAGCACGGGGGGGGGGGGGGGGGTTGGCCTTAACTGCACGTACGTCATCCGCACTGGTGACCGCACTGGTCAGACGTGTGGGAGGGCGCACCCCACGCAGCGCTGCTTCTCATGCCTCGACGACGCTTGGCGTACTCAGTTCCCTGACGCCACTGAGCTGCCCCGCTGGGCTGATCTGATGAAGCAAAACATTGATATCTTTGCTCTAGACTTTGATGCTATTCTCTCTGCCATGTATGTGATGTCTATTAGTGGAGAGGGTGCCCAGTACCTGCGTGTTCCGCCCGACCCGGGCATTCGACCCGGTGAGGCTGCCGCTCTAGGTGCTAGAGTGTCTGCTACCCCAGGTGCTGGTGAGGCTGCTGCTCTAGGTGCTAGTGCGTCTGCCCCCCCTGGTATTGAGTCGACTGCAGCACTGCACACCTTTATACTAGACTCAAGTGCCTCTCGCTGTTTCTTTCGTGACCGCATGGCTCTTGAGCAGCTTGCTCGGCCCGTTGCTGTCTCTCTCGCTGACCCCTCTGGGGGTCCAGTCCTTGCGACCTCCTCCACTGTCCTCCCCTGTCCGGCCGTCCCGTCGGGCACACTGTCCGGTCTCTACCTCCCCTCGTTCTCTATGAACTTGGTGGCGGGTAGTGCGCTCCAGGACAGGGGTGTCCACCAGTTCACCCCTGCCTACGAGCGCGTGACACACTGCACGTGTGCTCGGACGGGCCGTCACCTGGCGACCTTCACACGGCAGCCGGGGTCGGACCTGTACACACTGACTACTGAGTCCCCTCAGGTAGCTGCGTCTGCGTCTGCGTCAGGTCACCTGTCAGCCCCCTGCTCGTGCCGCTCTCTGGCACCACCGACTTGGTCACCCGTCCGTGCAGCGCCTTCGGGCAATGCACAAACGGTACCTTGTCTCTGGTCTTCCCAGAGTTCTCCCTCCCCTCCCACCCTCGCCTGCTCCTTTCTGCCTTCCTTGTGTCGAGGGGCGGCAGCGCGCTGCTCCTCACTCCTCCTCGTTTACCCCGACGACTGCTCCCTTGCAGACGCTCCACATGGACGTGTGGGGCCCCGCCCGCGTCCGTGGTCAGGGTCAGGAGAGGTACTTCCTGATAGTTGTTGACGACTACTCGCGCTACACCACGGTCTTCCCCTTGCGCACCAAGGGTGAGGTCCCTGATGTTTTGATCCCTTGGATCCGCGCTTCTCGTCTTCAGCTCAGCGAGCGTTTCCACTCAGACTTTCCTCTCCTGCGCTTGCACTCTGATAGAGGTGGTGAGTTCTCCTCCGACCTCTTGGCAGCCTACTGTGCGGAGCACGGCATCCGCCAGTCGCTCACGCTTCCGGCCTCTCCACAGCAGAATGGGGTTGCTGAGCGCCGCATTGGCTTGGTCATGGAGGTCGCTCGTACCTCCTTGATCCATGCGGCTGCCCCCCACTTTCTGTGGCCGTTTGCGGTCCGATACGCTGCGCATCAGCTCAACCTCTGGCCCCGTGTCTCCTTGCCGGAGACCTCCCCGACACTGCGTTGGACGGGAGAGGTTGGCGATGCGTCGCGTTTTCGGGTCTGGGGATCCCGAGCTTTTTTTTGCGATACGTCCGCGGACAAGCTCTCCTCCCGCACTGTTCCGTGTGTCTTCCTAGGCTTTGTTCCGGACGCGTCTGGTTGGCAGTTTTACCACCCCACCTCGCGCCGTGTCCTCGCCTCTCAGGACGTCACTTTTGACGAGTCGGTACCCTTCTACCGCCTCTTCCCCTACCGCACTGCCCCGCTCCCTCCCCCGCCTCTCTTCCTCGCGCCAGGTGCTGCTGTGGTAGACCCCCTCCCCCCTCAGGGTGCCGCTCCCTCAGGTGTGTCCCAGGTAGACCCGGTTGAGCCTGTCGAGGTAGCTATCGACTCTCGTCCTGCTCGGGGTGCAGAGCCTGAGAGTGCGAAGCCTGGGGTTGCAGAGACTGGGGGTGCTGAGCCTGGGGGTGCGGAGTCTGGAGGTACTGAGCCTGGGAGTGCTGAGCCTGGGGTACGAAGCCTGCTTGTGCTAAGTCTGGGGGTGCTGAGTCTGGGGGTGCTGAGCCTGGGAGTGCGACGCCTGGTAGAGCTCTCTCCTCACAGCAGCAGCGTGAGTGGTACTTACAGAACTGCAGCCTCAGGAGAGGTGCTTCTGGAGCTAGGAGTGCTACTGGAGCTGATGCTCGTGCTTCCTCTCCTAGGCGGGAGCTGCCCTCTCCCCTGCGTATTTGTGAGTGGTACGCACGGCGCTGCAGTCTCAGGAGTGGCGCTCCTAGTGTCGCGGACCCTGCTGCTGGTGGTGCGGACCCTGCTGCTGGTGCTGCGGACCCAGGAGTTGGAGGTGCTGCTGGTGCTGCAAACCCGGGCGTTGGAGCTGCTGCTGGTGCTGCGGACCCGGGCGTTGGAGCTGCTGCTAGTGCTGCGGACCCTGGGGTTGGGGTTGCTACTAATGCTGCGGACCCGGGCGTTGGAGCTGCTGCTGGTGCTGTAGACGCGGGCGTTGGAGGTGTTGGGGGTGCTGCTAGAGCTGCTGGAGGTTCTGGTGCTGTCTGTGCTGCTGCAGGGGGCACCTCGCGGCCGCGGCCGTACTTCGTTCCACTCCTTCAGCAGGTTCTTGGTCAGTCGCCTCCGCCTGGTCCCTCTCCCGCTGTAGAGTGTCCACCTCCGGTCCAGTCGCAGTCACAGCTACACCGTGCCTCGCCACTTCCTCGTCCTTCTCCCTACAGTGGTCCTACAGGCGTTCTCACAGAGCGTCGTCAGCCTGAGTCTCGTCCTGTGTCGCCTGTGTCCCGTCCTGAGTCACCTGTTCGTGCTACTTCCACCGGTCGCCGTTCTCAGCGTGAGCGTCCGCCACCAGTCCCTAGCACACGCCGGATGTCACTGCGTCCCTCCACTGCTCCGCAGCGTGTCCCTCTTCCATCTTCTCCTGAGTCCTCTCTTCTTGCTCTTGCTGACCCGGAGTCTGACTCTCTTCATGCTGCCAG